CCCCCCCCTCATCCGCCCCGCACACAAATGCTCTCAGGACATCTGGGATGGACGGCCTCCACACCAAAGACATCGAGACGGAGAAGGGCATGGTGCGCGGCTACGTGCAGCAGTACGCGCCCGAGATAGCCATGCTCCTCGCTAAGGTCGACCGGCAGATGCTCCTGCTTTTCAAGACCAACGACTGCCTCAGGCGCGGATTGGGGAGTGATTTTGCGTGCCATGTATCCCAGCGATAAACATCGACACACGAAAGGGTTGTTGGGGCATCATTTTTCGGTCTGAAACAAACATGTGTGTCAGTCCCTCCCCCCCCTCCCGATCAAATGCGGTGCATCACTGCCCGCTCGGGTTCCGATAGACATTTTTTGTTAACAGGGTTGTACGTTTCACCCTGCAGCAAGCGCGACGACACGTACACACACAACGGTCGCCACGGGAATACCAAGCTGTTCTCAAGGGCGCACGCCCGTTGCGACCTGATTTATTTCTTCTGTGCTCTGTACCTTTTTTTTATGCTTTGCTTCGATCATAACTTCGCTCCCATATTTGCCCGCCCGGTTGTTGCTGTTGTTGTGTTGGTGGTTCACTGCTTTCGATGGATTCACGCAGGCACATTGACAGGACCCTGGGCGCGCCCATCAACACGTTCGTCATCGCCGCCAAGACATGCATCTCCGTACTCCGAGAAGAGGACGCCAAGGAGGTGCGTTCATTCATGCGTACATGTACATGCACAAACGCGCCCACACAAGTGGAAACTCTGGGTGGGGACTTTAATGTTGACCGTATGTACGTCCTCGCTGTATTTTCACGAAACCCGCCCCGCCTCCACAAGCGATATTTCGTCTGAACGCTACGTTTTTGTTGTGGCTCATGATTTCTGGCATTGTTTTGCTATGTACTCTGCTAGACCGCTGAACCAGAGAATCCGAGACCGCGTAGAACACGTAAAAGCCATACCCCCGCACCCTCCTGACTACTTCAAAGGACCTCCCTCTCATTTTGCCCGAGGCTCGAGTCGTATTTCCACTGTGGAGTAAATTATCCCAACAGCGACGATGTAGATTGTTGTGCTGAGTTGTATGCATGAACACCTGTCCTTACGGCCAAGTTCTTCCATTTCTCTTTGTTTGAGACCTAGGTTCGAAACTCCGTAGAGTCCCTTGTTCTTACTGTAAATGTCGGCGCATTCTGTATTCTTCTAGCCTGCTGGTGCCGACCGCACGTGCTAAACGGCAAGCCGATGAGAAAACGTCAGCCGTACAAAGCAGTGGGGAAAGGAACGACAAAAAATCTTGTCTGATTGAATTATGCAATAGTGCCGACCGTGCAAGGAAACCGTCGTGAAGATTTTTTTTGTGTGTGTTCACTTCAAATCAGCGCTCGCAGCACTATGTAGTTGCCGTTCTACTCCAACCCGTGGTCACACAGAAGGGCCCCTCCCTACCTTCCCCTCCTGCGGTACATTACCTTCGACTTGAAATACGAGAAGAGTTCAGCAATCTTTTCCCTCTGTGTACACACGAACCAGCGCCATCCATTTGGCCAGGAGCGGAAGCAAGAGAAAAACTCACTGTGCAAGAAAAGCCTGCTTGCGCCGGGATTCGAACCCTGACCTGACGTCGAGAAGGTTTCGAGAATACCAACAAGGCCACCGGGGCGACCGGCTACTGTGTTGGGGAAAACTCTTCTCAGCGGGACACAAATCGATAGCACTTCCCACTCACCGGGTGGGGAAGGGGGGGGGGGGG